GTGTAATTCAACTTTTTTTTTTTTTTTTTTTTACGTGCTTTTTTAAATAAATGTCTCAATTTTGTAAAGCGATGGATATCACATTATGAAGAAAGTATGACAAAATCATTTTCATTTTAACTTCCTTATGTCATTTTAATAGCATAGTCATCTGTGTGTTTAGTAGAATCTAGTATTAGTATTAGAATTTAGTAATTTTTCTGTCCCCTTAAATTTCAAATAGCATATGTGGTATAAATAAATGAAGAATGTTCATAATTTTATTTATTTTGTTTAGCAACCCTGAGATTTCAGAGAAAGAAAAACGAGGCGTGAATAAGAATGATTCGTTCATTTAAAAGGTTTGTTCAAACAGACCGATCCACGCATTCGTTTGGCTCAATCAAACGTGTTAGCGAATTAACATCATTATCCAGTTATCTCACAAGACTAAAAAAAATAATCCAACTTAGAAGACCTGCATGCTACTGACTTAAACGAAAGGCTTCAGCGCGTTTATTTGCAGTATCTTTTGAACTGCAGCTACCAAGCATAATGGAAGTCAATGAGGGTGGACAGGCTGTCAAATACAGCATTGCTGCTCTGCCGTACTAAGATGTGCGCATGCGTGCTTTGGGGGCGTCAGCTAGCCTGAACGTTAATGTCCTAGTCTCACAAAATGCGCATCCCGTCGTGCATGTTACGTATATGCAGTTACATATACTGTATTGTTTCTCCCATGCATCATGCCACATTTTGATCATTGCAGTTGTTGGTCACCATGAGTTCCCTGTAGTTTGCTTGCTAACCTGCTGATGTGCTGCCATTCCTGTATTCAAATAACAGTCACTATATGTCAAAGAAATACTAAGAGAACGATAAGAGAAGCCCTTAACCAGTTAAGGAATACCAACCTTTGCCGCAGACTTTATTTAACTCAAATCCAAAGCCGTTATTCTGGAGTCAGTCAGCTTAAGCAGTGATCATTTTGCTGTCATCACTAGCTTTGCTGCTTCGGTTTTCTTTCTGGTTTAAAGGGGTCATAGGATGCCCATTTTCCACAAGTTGATATGATTCTTTAGGGTCTTAATGAAAAGTCTGTAACATAGTTTGGTTAAAATTCCTGGTAACACTTTCTATGAAGCCCGTATTTAAAATACATTATAAGGGTATTCTTAAGGCATTATAATGAATGCATAATGCATTATAAAAAAACGTATATGTTATATCAACTCATGAATAATCATAACAACAGTTATAATACCTCATAATACTTACGTATTTGTGGTTATAAGTTTAAGAGTATGATTATTTATAACACACAATGAACAATGAACTTTTCCACGACATTCTAATTTATTGAGATGCACCTGTAAGTGGTCTTTGACCGCTTTAAGTAAAGTAGCATAAGAAAAATGGCAAGATATGAGACTTATAATACATTATAACTATGAGAAATATAATCCGTTGTAAAAGTGGGTGCAACGTGTTCATTGTGTTATAAATCAACATACTCTTAAAAGCTATAACCACAAATAAGTAAATATTATAATATATTAAAACTGTTCTTATGAATATTAATGAGATGATACAACATATAAGGTTTTTTTATAATGCTTTAAGAATACCCTTATAATGTAATGTATTATAAATACGGGCTTCATAGAAAGTGTTACCAATATATTTTCTGCCTCATTTTATAAGAAGCCACATCAGATGACAAAAGTTGTTTCAAACACTTGACTGATGTTATGAAGTGAGTATCAATATGTATCGAAAAATCTATATTTTTGAAAACAATACCAGATTCCTGTTTTAGATCAAACTGATGCGCCTTTAACTTGTAAAAGTGCATGTAGCATCCTATGACCCCTTTAAGAAGAATTGATTGCATAATGCAGGGGTGTCAAATTCAGTTCTTGGAGGGCCACTGTCCTGCAGAGTTTAGTAAACACACCTGAACCAGCTAATCTTCAGGATTACTAGAAACGTCCAGGCAGCTGTTTTGGAGCACTGCTGGACATTGGCCCTCCAGGACCAGAGTCTGACACATGCATCAGAAAAACCATCATGTCTGCTTGTTTTCTAGAACTAAGTGATTTATGAGGGTTTGGAGACAGCCAGGGGTGTTATGTTTAAACCATTAGAAATCTTCCTAAATGTATCTTTAATACCTTATAGTCAGCATGAACGCTTTAGTGACCACAGTACTCTCTTCTCAGCCGAACGGGGCTTGTATCTGATTGCACTCTGTCATGCTAGTAAGCAGCCTCCACTATGACACTCATCTCCTTACTGACAGACATTCATGTAATTTCATCCTGTTTGTTAACGTGAGATGCTAAGCATGAAACTAGAGTGGAGAAATACACAAAGTATGGCTTACAGCTAATTATACAACACTGATCCCGTGATAATGCCTATCTAGGTGGCTTCCATCTCTCTGTGTGTGGCATGCATTGCTTTAATAAATACGTGTTTGCCGAACAACTCCCTTGACTCGTGTCATCAGAATGTGCCCCGTCCAGCGGTAAACCCAATCTCAGCGATGTGGTGCTTGTTAACTTGGCCTACGTGTCTGAGGTGGACGTCATCAGTGACCGTGCTGAAACTCCTCCCCCTTTAGCATCTCTCAATTTTAACAAGGTATGGCCAAATGATGACCTATTCCATTTGCATGTCTAGTAATCTGAGGTTAAGAACGGTGTTCATTTGTAATATTTTTGTGTTGCTTCATCTCTGTGCAGCTTGTGAATAGAGCACGGGCGGAAAAGGAAGAGAAGTTGTTGCAAGCTTATGCAGTTAGTGCTGGTGTATCTGTAGAGGGCCAACAGCTCTTCCAGACCATTCATAAAACGTAAGTGATGGGAATATTGAAATGCTCACTTCCAATTGGCTTGTCTTCGGGCTTTTGCTCTATCACGACCTATACTAATTGAAACTGATAGCTGAATCTATATGTAGTATTATTATTACTAACAATCATCTGTACTGTGGATGAATTGTTTAACAAATGTGATTATATAAAACAACTGTGGCTTCCTCCTCATCTTCACCACAGCATCAAAGACTGCAAATGGCAGGAGAAAAACATCATTGTGATGGATGATGTGGTCATCAGTCCGCCATACCAAGTGGACAACTGTAAAGGCAAAGATGGCAGCGCTTTAAGCCACGTGCGGAAAATAGTAAGTCGTCTCAACTCTGCAATCTGTTCTACACACTTGTGGGGTCTGTAAGATTTTTTTCTCTTTTTTGAAAGAAATTAATACTTTTATTCAGCAAGGGTGCATGAAACTGATTCTATTCCATCAAAGAATCCTGGGGTGGGGGAGAGAGATTGTATCACGGTATCCACAGAAATATTAAGCAGCTGTTTCATCCGTTTTAAATTGTGATAAAAATAAGAAATGTTACTTCAGCACCAAATCAGCGTATTAGAATGATTTTTGCCAGTACAGGAATAAATTATTAGGGCTGGGCAAGTTAATGCGTTAACGCATTAATTAATTAACACCGACAATTATTTTATCGCGCGTTAACGCAGTTTTTATTATTATTATTTTGAAAGTCCGTTGCTCACTGGCTCTGGATACACACAGACAAACCATGGGTCAGAGGATGGGTGAGATGTTGATCAGTACTGGCTTGGGATGGGTGTCATCACGCATCTCAACCAATGAGAGCATTTTGGGTGGACCTAAGACTGCAGGAGCGCTCACATGGTTGTGCTGCTGCACGTATCAGAATGTGCTCGTAATCACGACTTCATCAGTGGGAAATAGCAGGGCTCGCAAAATTTCAAAATCCCTGGTAGCCCTTCGGGCAGGTACTCTTCAGATTTTGGTAGCCCGAAAATGTAACTAGCCCAAATAAAAAAAATATAAAAGATCAGATAGGAGTTTAAATGTCTATCAAAAATATTTTTAATACACAAATATCAACAAATATGAAGGAAGGAATTTTATTTCACTATTTACAGGGT